TTCGTTTATTTATTTTTGCAGAGAAATGGTGCGAGATCCACCTACGTTGCATGTACTAAAGTCTATCATGGAGCTCCGTCTTTTTTAAATAGCTCGTTGAACATCTAGAAACAAGGCGGCTGTGCCATCATGCCATATAAACAAATAGTATTCTTATTAGTGTGATTATGGCCATTACCATTTTCTTTCTCATTCTCCGCTACCTTCAACACACCATGAAACCCTTGCGATACGAATATACCAGATATGATCACAGGTTCATGTCTATGAACTTGGCCCGTATCGTAGACATATTCAGAACCAGAAGTAGGCAGAGTAGTATTATCACGCTGTTTCCCAGCTGGCACGCCCTCGTAATCATTATTGTCTGAAAGGACAAAGTCCATCAAAAGCAAATTAAAAATATATGCAGTGACCACTTCTTTCCTATGAACAAAGCTAAGTCTGAAACCGTTTGCGGACTTCTTATGTTGTGGGACCAGGCAGTTTCGAGAAAGTCAAAATAAACCCCTAGATGCATATATTTGTTCCTGAAAATAAGTGCAAAGTTGGTAACGGTTATGAAGTCATGTACTCTGCGATTCCAAGATGGGTGCTGTTTGTGATACCCCTGTATCGTAGGGTTTACGATGTGATTCTGTTTTTTCAATGGCATTAGTCAGATGTTGCTTATTAATTATTTCTGTGCATCCAGGCATATGCTGTCATTCTTCCGCTGAGCCTACACACCACGTGATATTCTTTTGCATAACGCGGAAAAACATAGTGAGTTACTCCAACAGTGTTCGACAAACTTCTGTTAGGGTTGAATTCCGATTTTGAAAGTTTCTTTTTGGTGGTTATATCAGAATTCTTTCCTTCACTGTTGTTTCGCTGGGTCGCGAATAGGTTAAACGAGAATGCTGTTGACACGTTAATGCTACACGGATAAGAGAGGGAGACGTGCAGCAGAGCAATCTATGCACTGACCGTTGGACCTCAGCTGGATTGGAAGATAATCAATATGGAGATGGACAAGAAGAATATTACTAGAAGTCCTCTACCTGCAGAATTAGAAATTTTTTTATTGCTGGTATTTGTCTTTCGGTTGTAATTCGGCCTCTAATCTTTATAAGGTTCAGACGCATCTGATCATCTTTCAAGTAGTGAAAATCCCGGATTTCATCTTCGGAACACCTCTGAACTGGATGATTGAGCGAAGTTTTGCTGCCTTATCTTTTTTATGCTTTCCAACCCAGTCGATACAATTCAGCCTTTTGAACGGTCTGAAATGTAATATGCATTTTTAATAAGGTAAATATCGCAGGTTGTGATTGCGTTGATGTTTGTGTTTACTTCTGTGTCGTAAGGACTGTCCTCATTAAAGTCGTAATTGTCGAAGTCGACAGACGGTTAACAGCTGACCCGAATATGGCGATGACTGCTCGTGATTCATCTTTTGAATATATGTCGTGCCGAGTGTGTTTTCTGAGAGACGACGCGATTTCGGGTTTGCTGCGGTCTTAAATAAATCAATCTTACAACTGAACTTTCTTTCTGCTTTTTGACGTTACTCCTAAACACGGACGGTGACTCAACGACGCGTCTACGTATACTCGACCTATTGATTTGTTGATTTTCTTCTGATGAAGCAACATATTCTTCAGTTTACGAAGAGGTTTCTCGCATGTCGGGAGTTTCGCTTTTCGTGATGACTGCGTTACGTCTTCAGGGCCAGGTTTTTCTGAACTGATCGTTCGCCGCAGACTAGTCGGGCTGATTATTTCCGGAAACGAAGCAATGCCACGATTTTGTTTGCGTAGCCAAAGCCGTATAAACCCTTATACCTTATTTGTAGTTCTCAAACGTGTTTTCGAACTCCTAAGCTTCCCCCGCAGTTATCTCTAGACTGTCAGAGAAAGACCACAGATCACGCTTCGTCAGGCGACCCTAATGATTTCAGCCTTTGACTAAACTAACAGTGAACTTTCTGAGGCAAATAGCTGGGTTCACGCGTCATGACAGAGTCAATAGTTCAGATGTCCGAAAAGCCTTGTTTTACAGCCGCTGTTTCTACCGATTTATAAGTCACAGCTGCTGTCGTTTTGGCATGTTTTGCGAATGTTTTCAGCAAGTAGGGCGAAACAGCTGTTACTTGGTCAACCGGTCGACGGAAGACCCTGGGAACGGTCAAGAACGACCTGGGCTGAGTGTCTCTATGAACAGTGAAGCCGAAGCTCAAACCCTGGCACCAGATCAGAAACCTTGGAGTGTCCGATGCTGCCACCTCCGTGACCCGAAAGGGTAAGCGGTCGTCTGAAACTGATTGACTGACTGGTTGACGAAACTAAAAGAACTCAGCTTATCGTCCGAATTATACATTCCGTAGCAGAAGATTCTAATAACCCTTAGGATAGAAAAATTTTAGATTCTTGTTCCATACACTCTTGTACAAAGAGCAGTTTAGATCCGATCAAAGTCAGAATCGAGTATGGCCGTGGTTATTCTTTTCTTGCCGACCCTGCCCTTCCTTTGCAGAATTTAATGAGGAATCTAGCCGAGTAGGAATATCTTACTAATCACAAAATTGCAACGAAATCACGATAATATACATTAATCTTCGGTTGTATTGGTTGGTATATGAACTTGATGCTTGTTATGTAGCTGAATTACTTGTCATAAATGTTTCCAATTACTGACGTGCATTGTAGGCGTAGTCGAACAGACTTTGAATTTTGAGACTTAACTTTTCATTCAGTATTTCAGTTGTCCGCC